ATGGAAGTCTGCATAATTTCTTTGCACGTAGAGCATCTGGTGGGATATCATGGTTTGCCACTGCCAAGCTGAGCTGTGATTTGTTTGTTTCTACTTGCTATCACGTACAGCATCTGGTGGGATATCATGGTTTGCCACTACCAAGCTGAACTGTGATTTGTTTGTTTCTACTTGCTATCAGTGGGGGAAAGGGAAGAAAGAAATCATAAAAGGCTTTAAAGAATATTTCAAATCCTATGACAATATTTCTCAAAGTATATTTTATGAATCACCTTTATCACAGTCATCTGGAAAATTATAAAACTGCAGATTCTTGGGCTCAAGCCAGAATTACTGATTCAGAATACTTAAGAATGAAGCATACAGCCAGGCATGGTAGCACATGTCTTTAATCCCAGCACTCGGGAGGCAGAGGCAGGTAGATCTTTGTGAGTTTAAGGCCAGCCTGGTCTACACAGTGAATTTCAGGCCAGCTAGGGTTACAGGGAGACCATGCCTCAAAAAACAGACAAAAAGAAAGGAAGGAAGGAAGGAAGGAAGGAAAGAAGGAAGGAAGGGAAAAGAAAAGAATGGAGCTTACAATCACATATGTTTAAAAAATATTCAAGTGACTTTTACTTACATAATGAAAATACTGGCCAAGGAGTTAAAGAGTGCTATGCAAATGTCCTCAACAAAGTGAGCAACATAACATCTCAAATATTTAGGCTGATGTATAATGGATTTTCATCCTACCTAATAGATAACTTTAAGGAACGGATCAAATTCCAGGCTAGTCTTCCAATCAAAAACAGGATTTTGCAATCACTCTCATTCTAAAATAAGTTTAAGTGAGCAACATAGCATCTCAAATATTCAGGCTGAGGTATAATGGATTTTCATCCTACCTAATAGATAACTTTAAGGAACGGATCAAATTCCAGGCTAGTCTTCCAATCAAAAACAGGATTTTGCAATCACTGTCATTCTAAAATAAGTTTTTTTTCCTCTAGGCCTCCTTAATATAGCAGGCTTTCAAAATTTCTTCATTCTATGGAAGAAGCCAGCTACTGTAAAGAATAAGCAATTAATTCCTTGGTAGCAATTAAATAAGTGGGAGACTAAAACACAAAAAAGAAATTGTATGTGAAGATGCAATGGAGAAAAATTAAAAGGACCAAATAGGTGAGAATGGGTACAAATTGTTATGGTACAGAGCCCAAACACAGCCTCTACACTCTCTAAAGCCAAGTCCTGAGGATTTCAAATCTCTCCTGTGAAACTCGGGAAGAGAGAAATCAGCAATGCCATTAGGAGAGAACTGTTAAATTTCAATCATCTGAAAATAGAAAATCTGAAAACAAGAAATGTGACAGAAAGTGACTTTGGACAAAAGAACTGCTCTCCTCTAAGATGATGTATCTAGAAATAAGATTTTTTCCCCTAAGTAGAACTTTGGTTTAAAGAAGTGCTTATTCAGTTACTTTGCCTAGTCTACAAAGTCTTTAAATGCCATTTACCAGCTGTAAAGATTTGACCACCAGATTAGGCTTCTTGTAAATCTTCTGCTCTGGCTCTTTGTGGTTCTTCAAAGGGCAATCCCATGAAGTCTTCTTAGGTGCTGTAGCAGACAGTGAATTTCTGGAGGGACTGGAGCCCCAAGCATTGGTTTCTGTTTTCTTGTCTGGTTGAACTAAACATGAATTTCTGAGTGATGAAAAAGCTCTACCTGAAATGGAAAATACAGTATCTGTGCTTATCTATTACAGTATGGGTACCACAGTTACTAAGCATTTTCTGTATGCTGGCACTGGAGAGATGATGAGCAATGTCAACTTGTCCTTGCAGACTTTTCAGCTGGAGACACAAGGAAAGTCCTAGATGAGAAACAAATCCTACATTTTTTCACATTGGGGCAAAAGGAGTTTGTAGTTTGGTAAGGTGTCTTAAAATATGGTAAATGGTCTTATTTTTCATCTTCCTGATTTCCATTAATTAATTCTTCTAATTGGGCAGTGAACATTCACTGCTTAATGTACAATGTACACACTTTTAAATATTCTATAATATTATGTCTTAACTCTAAGAGACTTACAAATCAACCACATATTTTGTTGAAATTTATGCATGTATGATGTATGACATATATACATGTATGTATATATGCATGAATACCAGTGTTTGGCACATTAATGCAATCCTCAGATCTACAACCAAGAGACTCCTAAAGAAATAAAGTCATAATCACATTAAGATGTATGTACAAAAACATTTATCAAACAGGATGTACCTCAGTGGCTGGATGCTTACCTGGTGTGAATGAGGCCCTGAGTTTCATCCTCTTCACAGCAAAATTAATAAAAAGTTAAAAATATTAATCACCATGCTTTCATAATGATAAATATGGACACATTCTTAATATCCACCAACAGGACACTGATTAAACAAAATATGTAAGAATTGTATACAGGGGTCTGGAGAAATGGCTCTGCAGTTAAGAGCACTGGCTGCTCCTTCAGAGGACCCAGCTTCGATTCCCAGCATCCACATGGCAGGTAACAACCATCTGTAATTCCAGTTCCAGAGAATCTGATGTGCTCGTGTGACTTCTGCAGCCATTTCACAACACAGGTACACTTACATACATGCAGGCATTACATTCATATACATAAAATAAAAATAATAAACATTTAAAAAAGAATTGTATACAAGTGAAAAAATGAAGACACATTTATCCTGCTTAGCTACTTAGACCCTCCTCATGCTATCCCCACCCCTACTTTGGGCTTAGGCCCCTCTCCTGGCACGTCAGAACCCAGCAACCAAATTCCCATAGTCTCAAATTGGCCCTAGGACCCTTTTTTCCTGCAGGGGAGCTCTTAACTAGCCAGCCTGGAACCATCCTGATCAGCCAATAAAAAATCAAAAGTGAGAATCCGAGACACAGACCAAGTAACTATTCACACCTGATCAGAAAGCAATTAAGCTACATCAACAATATAAACAGAACCAAACTACGAATAACAAGCGCAGATTAGAATTTCATATCAGACACACAACCAACAAAAGAAATCCATGTGCCCACTCCACAACACAAAAACACAAATATGAAAATCCAAGATATGTCCTCACGAAAATCTACCAGTCCTACAGAAGTGTACTACAATGAGAATTTCCCAGAGGAACCCCTGGCCACAGAATTTAAAAGAACAATCATATATATAATCAAAGAATTTATCGGCTTAAAAAAACACACACAACTCAAAAAACTCAAGACATATAAGAATAAATCCTGACTGAAGCTCAAGAAAATATGAATATACAGCTGAATGAAATGACAAATTCAATTCAGGATTTGAAAAGTGGATTCATGAAAGAGAAATATTGAAGAAAACTCAAGATGAGATAAGAAAGAAGTGAAAAGCTAAGTAAACTAATTTGAAATGACAGTAGGAAGCTGCACTACTAGAATAAATGAAACAGAAAACAGAATATCGAGATTGAACAATAAAGTTAAATAACTGGACTGCTCATGCAAAGGCTATGAAAAATCAAAATATAGGAATGGAATATGC